TATGCACAATTCAGCAGAAAAGGAGATGTGTGGAGGGAAAGCATACAAGGGCAAGAAGTATCACAAATCATTAAAAAAATTATTCATCATAATTTAAACAAAGTTGGACATAGTTGCTTAAAAGTGCTAGTAATGCAGTACAAACTCCATTCATTGCCTACATTTGAAATTCTTCAGGTCGTTTTATACAAGTTTATAAATCATGCAGGATAATTTCATGTTATTTTTTAAATGTTTCAGTGCTGCAGGGCACATTGAAATACATTTAGCTACTCATGACTCATGAAATAGACCCTAATATCTGATTGTTAACTCAACTTCTGACCAATTACAGTGGACCAGTTCAGTATTCAGTGTTTCACCAGTTTTTTCTGTGAAACTTATGCACAGGAAATGAAGACTTTTTCCATTGATATTTGTTGAAAATGCAGCCATGCATGCCATGGTGAGAACCTGAAATATTTAGGCACAATCCATTTGCAACATTCATTTTGATTGGCTGTTCCCAGAGCAGAAATAAGGAAGCGTATTAGCAGCTATGTTAGCCAATATTTGTGGATTTCAGCTACTTGTGGGTGGTTGTGGTCCCTAACTCATTTAGTAATTTGAATTAAATTGTGCCATGTTTGTGTTTCCATACATGTACTGGTCAATGTTATTTATTATAAGTCACTAGGGAGACATAGAATAAATCAGTCCCAATCTGTCAAAATAAAAACAAGTGATGTCACTTCATTTCATTCTGTTTCACCCAATGTTTCTTCTCTCTGTGGAGAAAAATAATTTTTGTAACTTACCATCAGTAGCTTGAAAATTAGGAGAGTAAAAAATGACAAAGTGAATCCATATTCCTCTCCAGCGACATCTACTGTTTAGAATGGTAACTGCGGTGAGTGTAAGAAGCCTGACCATCAGGTGAAACTGTTGGACCGCCACAGTTTTACCTGATTGTTTCCTTTATTGAATGACTGACATTCAGATGCCGTTTCACGCACTTGTCATCACAAACAGGTGGTCGTGCGTAAAAGGCGCGGGGCGGGCGCAGTTAGTTTACCTGCCTGGTGAAGAGGATGGCTGCATCGTGGTGATGCTGGTGATCGTCGTCCAGCGGGTTCTGCTGGTTCTGCCACTTGCAGAAGCTCTTGAGCGTCGCCGCCGCGTTCTTGGTCACCTCCAGCCCCTTCTCGCTCTCCGAGACGGTGATGACCTTCACCACGGACAGCCGGATGGGGTTCTCGATGCTGGCGTGTCCGTACAGCTTGGATGCAATGGATGCCAGTGTGAGCAAGTAGTGGTTCAAGTCCCTGCCGTACTTCTTGGTCATGGAGTCGTCCGCCACCAGGAGCAGCTCCACGTGCCTGGCGCGGGACACCGACCTCTTGCGCCGCGCGCCGGGCTCTTTGACGAAGCGGCTCCACCATCTCCTCCCGCGCGCGCCGAGCCCCTCTTCTCCGTCCGGTCTCCCCTTCCCGCCTCGGCGCCGCCGTCTTCCCACCGCATCCCTGCGTCCCCTCTTCCCGTCGCGCGTGCCGCAGCTCTCGCGCCCCTCGCTCAGAGACTCGAAGCTGAAGCTCTCCCGCGTGAACACGTGGAGCGCGCTCTCCGCATCCCGGTCGTGCAGGGCGCGCGTGTCGTGCTCGTGTCCCTTCGCCCGGATGATGGGAGTGATGGTGTAGCGCGAGTGGTTGACGGCGAAGAAACCCTCCAGGCCTCCGCCGCAGAGGCTGAGGACGGCGAGAGACTCCGGGTTGGAGTTCACCGTCCCGCGGTACGCGCACTCCCGCTGCAGAGGCGCGGGACTCTGTCCCATCATCGCGAGCGCATACTGAGGGCTGAAGTGATGCGACAGCACCGACTCATCCCGCTCCATGTCCAGCTGAAAGCGCCTCCCATCCAGGTACACCAGGTAGCCCACCTTCCCCCCGCCGTTGTAAATCCTATCGATGGTCCGCACCACCCCGTCCGTCCTCCGGGCAGGTGTGTGCAGCGAGCCGCTCGCAGGTGGAAGATAGAACCCCTGGAAGGTAGACACCCCGGCTCCAAACTCCACGACGCACAGCAGCTGCAGCAGCAGCCGAAACCAGAGCATGCTCCCGGTCAGAGCGCCAAGGAGCCGCGGCATCGTTCACTCCAACCCGAAGAACATTTAGATCTCCGCTAAAACATCCCCGCCGTGGCCGAAAGGGACAACTTTAGGTGGCTGCTGTTGTCCATGCGTAAAGCGCATCCTTCTCTCTCCGTGTCCGGATCCCCCGTGCACAAGGCGCACAGCAGTGACCAGCAGGCAAGAAAACAAAACCATTGAAGAAGAAGTGGGAAAAGGAGAGGAAAACAGAGCGGTGGAAAGGAACTCTGCGCGGCTTGGAAGAGGACTGAGCTGAACTTGGCAGAACAAAAACACAAAGTTTGCTCTTAATAGGACTCGGAGAGGAAAAGTCCTGCCCCTTTTGCGCCCAATCACCACTCCTCCACCCCCACCTCCTCTTCTCTCTGTCTCCCTCTCTTCTTCAAATCAGAGTAAAAACAAGTGGTGGAGGAGAGAAACCTGAACAAAGCCCACTTTGGAGTGCTGCTAGTGTTTGCAAAAGCACTAAATCTCAATTGTTGCTCTGAGAGCTGGGATGTAAACATCAGCACCATCTTCTGTAATCCCTCCATTAAACACCAGTATGCTGCTTTTCCACTTTGAATTCTTTCATAATTGAAGTCTTACTTAGTTTTCCTGAAGAGTTTCAATAGATGACAAGGGAAATAGATCATTTATGACCATCCCCAAAGTAGAAAGTCATGGAGTTCACTGTTTCCATGCTAGACATTTCATTTTGCGGTTGTGTAAAAGCTGTTAGTTTGCATTCACTACATGCTGCAAACCCTAACTCTAGTTGGGGGAGAAAATGACTCTGCAGGTGTGTGTCTGCGTCTGATTATTTATTGGAGTTCCCCTGCTGCCCCTGTGGGATGTCGCGCAGAGGTTCGTCAGAACTGAAGTCACCATTGAAGTCATGCACAAACATCCTCCTAGAGGGCTGCTGGAAGGGAAGGCGCGTTTTTAAACCTTCGTGCTCAGCTGCTGAGTCACAAAAAAGTTTTTATTTTGCAGTGTTCGCCAGGAGGATGGCACACAACTTCTATCTATTTATGGTCTTTCACTTATCTGAGATCAAGTGGAAGGGGTCAGAAGTCCAGGAAGAAAACCTCTCTGGTGATACCCGTATCTTATTCTGGGGGATGCCAAGATGTTTCCTGATCAGAAAGGATGTATTGTCTATCCATCAGGTTTTGGATCTGCCTCAGCTTTTTCTTCAACTGAAACATTTCCCAAGAACATCCAGAAGTCAAAAGCTCCTTCAGCAACTCTTTAAAAACTGGATTGGCTGTGTCTCTGGTTCCTTCATTCAAGGAACCTCCTCGCCCATTTTGTTTCATCACAAAGCCTGTGGGACTCACTGTTTGTATCTAAGGTCTTCTAAGACTCAGTGAGCCCAAATGAGCAAGAGGAAAGACAGAAGGGCGTGTTAGGGCCTTAATGCTCAGCCACTCAAAGAGAAATACCTTCCCTTAGGAACCTTTTCTTTTGGTCTTGATCCACAAAACACAGGAAAACACCAAGGTACCTTTAAAAAGGTGCAGTTTCAATAAAACATGTTTTCTTTGACAAGCAAGAGAAAATGTCAAAGGATTTAAGACACACATTGAAAGTGTGCAAAGCCCAATCATCTCTATAATTACGCATTATGATCCCCCAATCCTCCCCCAACCAATCACTTGATGTGGAATTTGATGTGAGCTTACATTTCAAATTTTGAGGGGTTGGAGGCCGTGTCGGCTGTCTGTCCTCTAAGCTCTTGATCCGAAGCATTCTGGATGACTGATGGCCAGCGTGGGCAGTGTGGATGGAGAAGGGAGCGGGAGGGTGGTGGAAAAGTCTCGGCTCTCCTCATTAATCCACATTCTGTAGAACTCAGCTCTGTCTCTTTTTTTGTTTAGAACCTTCCCCTTAGATCTTCATATGGAGATGGGAGGGGGCTCCAGTGATGGAGGCACTTCAGTTCATGACCCCATGTTATAAAATCCTTGCTGTTCTTCTCCTGACGACAGACACCAATATGGATCCAATATCAAGTTGAACTTGGTGCCCATATCACCCTCCAGTTATGCAACGTTATCTCCCACCCCCACTGCCCGTCTCCTTTTTCTTTCAACCCTCCGTCTCCCACAGACTGCTTCTCCTTTACACCAAACTGCCGAGTGCACTATGTGAGGCGGTCAGACGCCCCTAAGCTCACTAGAAGGATCATACTGCTCTGCTTCTCAAGCTGTGATGAAAAATGATGCAGCTGTAAACTAAGTGGCATCAAGCTTGAGCAGAAATTAACTATCCCACAAGATCTTTTCAAAGCCCCACTGACACAACACACGGCTTTGGTTCTCTCTGCCTGTCCTCTTTGGATCTCTAATCCTCCCATCATCTGAAAGGGAGATGCGTCTATGCCAAGGCATCTATATGGATGTAAACCACCCCCGTTTATCCCCACACACACACACAAAAGACAAAAAAAAAAAAAAAAAAAAAAAAATCACCAGTCACACGTGGGAAGCTGGCTGCACTATGATGTTGCAAACCAAAACAAGTTGTGTGTGTGTGTGAACGTGCCGAGCCACGTGCGCGCAGGGACCGGCCCATTTTCACGGCGACTGAGCAGAGAGGGAATCCAATACGGCTAATTGACAGGCTGAGCCGTTTATGTAACCGCCGGGGTTCTGTCGGCTTGAAGCTGCCGCCCTTCGCTTCGTCTCTGGGCTCCATGACACCCTCCGCTTCCTCTGCCCACACGCACCGCTTCCTCACCATCCCGTCGTGGACGCCCAAATGAACAATTCCCCCCAGAACGTGAAGACTCGGTTTGCAAGGTGCTCTCCCAGCATCTTTTACATCTGTCGCCGTGGTGACAGTGTGACTGGACCACGAGTACATCGTGTCTCAACACCGGCACGTCCACTTTCACACAGCTTGACACTCGTCTGGAAACAAACAGGCATAATGGACCCTTTTCTCCACAATCAGTATATATTGATTCAGAAGAGAACAAAAGAGGCACAGCTGTAAACACAGATGATAACAACTGGATTAGTTGATGCAAAGGCATAAAAATTTGGTTAGACAGACAGCTTCTAAGTTTGCTCACATGTCCTCTTACATGTTTAAAACATCACACCCGGTCATGAAATGCTTCTATTCCACTTGATTTCAGAGATGTAAACAAGCGATCATGGTGTACAGTACATTTTGTCCCGGACTTACAGAACAGGAAGCTGATCTGGAAACCCATAGTGAATTATTAAAGCATGTCTGACTGTATAAACCTACACACATTTACATGAGAAATAACATCATCAACAACAAAAAAACAAAACAAAACAAAAACTTGCTGTTTATCAGGGCAGACATTAAAGAGCAGAACAGAAATATGAAATAGTTTCAGTAATTCTTCATGTTTACATTCTCATTCTGTCACAGAGTGTCTCTCAAAAGTGTACACAACTGAATTGATGAGTATTTCAAACATTTTCAATTTAGATTTTGTTGTATGTCCTGAGCAGTTAAATGGGGACAAATCTAATGAAGGACAAAAATATGCAATAATAAAAAGCAGAAACAGCCTCAGTGGATAAATTTGCACCTTCTTGAAGCAGCTTTTGTCTTCTAGAGTTCACCAAAGATTAGGAGTTTTAGAAAAGATGTTTCTGACATTTCCATCTTTTAGCTGAACTATCGCAAAGGGTCAAATTGACACAAAACAAAGTTTTAAGCATGAATCTAAAGGTAAGGTGAAAGGGAAAATTTAGTTTTTTATTTTCCCTTTAACATGTTTGTTTGCCGGTTAAATTGGATAAATCTGAAGTTTTGTGTGCAGTAGTTTTAAAATGATTTCTAATGGTTTGATTTTTTTTGTCACACTGTTGAGAGACACTATAATATTCTAATAAAATATTCTTATACTGATGTTGACTTTGAAGGCTTAGAAGAGCATTTGTTAAAAAAAGAGAAAAAAACACTTCAGTATGTTTGCAGAATTTATAGGATTTAAGAGAGAAAGTGGAATATTCTCACAAATGTATGCAATATATTCTAACAGGAAAACATTATTTATTTCAGCAAAGTATAAAAACTATAGAATTTCTTGAGATCAGCTTGAAATTAACTTAACTTTGATTTTTTGCATCGTGTGCTATGCAACATTTGTTTTATTCTTCTTTTAGAAAGAAATTTCAATTGAAAACTTTATAAAAACATAAAACTGTGACAATAAAACAAGAAACAAATCTCTTTGGGCATTAAATCTAGAGCACTAAATACTATATCATTTTAAAAATATAATAAACTTTGCAAACTTCACTCTTGGAAATTTAATGCTAATAATTATAGGCATGTTCAAGCTGTAACTTTACTCCTTCATCCTTACAATTGCTTTTTTAAGCCTCCTTATTCACCTGACATCACTGAAACACTATACAATACAGGCTTAAAAAAAGAATCATAACAGAAAAACTTAAACATTTGGTGCACACATTAAACAATATTGTATAGTTCTTTTTTTTTCTTCTTTGAAGCAGCAGTAGTTTTTTAAAAACTAATTTAAACGAGGTTTGCAGAGACCTTCCAAGAAGATATACTCTATTATGATTTGAAAATGTTGACCTGTTTGACTAGTTGTTAATTTCGATCTTTCAAATAAGCAGGAAAGCATTTCGGCAACCCTCGTTTCATCTTTAATTAATATGACTACATCTCCCAGCTTATGTTCAGTTTATTATTGCTTGCAATAGTTGAAAGAAATATACTAAAGTTTTTATTCTGGAGACACCCACTAAAAGATCATCTATGCTGTTTGTACAGAAATACCGAAAATGCAAAACTAATGCAAACTATGTTTAGGTCAGATTTGTTGTCGTTTAAGTGTTTGCAGCAAGCTGGAGAGCTTGGCAGCAAAAGTGGCATTTAGTGGACGCAACTCAAGTATTAACTCCACTTGGTTTGGATGAGAAATTCAAGAAATGTCCAGATAAATCATCTGACATCACATGTCTGACTCATGGAGTCATTTCAGCAGACATGCTAACACTCTCCGAGTCTCTCATAGAGAGTATAGTGTAGCTGAGGACTGAGTGCTGCTGCCAAACGAAGGGAACGTCTCTCGGGGTTGTTGTTACATGGTCCTCAAGTACAGCGACTAAACTGTAAAATTAGATGAAAAGCTATGTTAGCAAGTATGGAGACAAAAACGGTTAAGATTCAGGAGTGTTTGCTGTTTTTGTATGGAAAAGACCAACTCTGGTGGGGAGGAACAGGAACTGTGGCTGATCTGAACAGCCGGTCAAGTTTTATCCCAGTTTAGGGTCTGACGCTCTGATAATTCTTCCAAACTGTCGACTCCGGAGTTTCTTTGGTAAATTATAACATTTCTCCTTTAACATTGTTTTGAAATACAGTCTTCTGTTGTGATCAGTTGTTCTGTTCGGCACACCTGATTGGCTGAGCAGCATACAGTCCCACAAAGTGTTCGTTATCGTCATGTCTTCTTTTCTGGGAGGAGCTCTATAATTTGCTGATTCCCGCCGAGAGACACCACGGGGCTGTAGGTCAGCGCCGAGCCGTTGGTGGAGAGGTGCTGGAAGGCCATAGACGACTTCTCTGCAGGGGTGCAGAGGCGATGGAAGCGCTAAGGGGTCGGGAAAGATCCGGTTAGAAAGATAAAAATCCCGTCCTTCCTGTGAAGTTTTGAGTCATAGTCGAAAAAAAAAAAAAAATCACCTGCGGCAGAGATCCCGGAGTGGTGACCAGCGCGTACACGGCCCAGATGGGGAGCAGGGAAACCGAGGACAGGGTCAGGATCCAGCCGAGCGTGGTGGCCCAGACCGGAGCCACCAGTCCTTTCCCCAGGCTCAGCGGAGACCAACGCACCAGGGAGAAAATGAAGGTAGCCTGAAAGAAGATGGAGGGATACGACTTTGATGTCACCACTCTATTCCAACATTTAAGTTATGAATTAGATTCGGTTGAAGAAAGGGTAAAATGATGAGATAAACTGTAAAATGACACCAAATAATGTTTTCATTTTTTAGATGCATCTTGATGCAAACTATTCCACACCCAGGCGAGGCAATAAAAAAGTTTCTCAACTACTTTTAACTTGTGCTTTGTTTTCTGGTTAGAATCATTTAATGTCAAGTTAGCATGCTAACCTACATCTAACAGCTGATAAAGTTTTAAAAAGGCATCACTGTTGTAATCTGGTGGAAAAACAACACAGAAGTTATAAATATGCCCTGCAGCTAAAATGCTTTAACATTATTCTAACAGCTAATGCTAGTTTTCATCTCTTTGATAATTCTATTTGCTAATATAAAGTATGATGTCCTAAAAATATGGATTCATTTAAAAAATATTGTAAAAATCTGTGGCGCCCCCCAACTAATTGACACCCTGGACTACTGCCCCTGAAAGGACTTTCTCAAGTCTGGCTCATCTTGCAGCCTGCAGAGAAACGAAAGTAACAACTAAACTTTGTTCATTGTGGATTGTCAGAGAACAATTCAATTACGTGGAAGGTAAAGGAGGTTCACTTTTTGACTCTCGTAGAAAAATTGTGGAATAAAGACTTATCATAGTTGTTCAATAAAGGCTGAAGGACACCCGTAATGTGCTGAAGACCTTCCATGATGCTGCGCCGCAGTTGGACAATGAGATCACGCTCATTCTCCAGACGAACCTCCAACAACAACAGATGGATTCCTTCGTTGGAATGCAAAGCAGCGCTACTCCTCAGTCGCTTCCACAACAACAGACGGCAGCAGTCAGGCGGGATTTTTTCCCATTTTTACAAGGCTGCGCCCAACTACCTTGAATAATGGCTTTTTTTTTGTTCCTGACAGCAACTACTGGAGGAATGTTGTAAACTTGGCGCCGATCTGTGACGCAGTGGAGGCCATCCAGATAACGGAGAACTGTACGGAAACCAGTCAACTTAGCTTGTAGCAGGGTGTTTAAACGTTTTCTAGACTTAAATTTCAAGAGCGTTCAATTAATTTCCCCATTTTAAGTAGAACTATGAAAGAAATTTATTGAAGATATGACTAGATGAATGTTTGGACACACATTCTGAGAATGGATGGTTCAATGAATGTGTGGATAAATGTTTGAATGATTGGACTGATGGACATAAAGAGGAGTGGTTAAAAGATGGAAATATATATATATATTTTGCATAGTAGGATAGGAAATAGAGTCTGGTAATGCAAAATTCTTTCCATTTCCACAGTTTTCCAGGCTGGAAATCTATAAAATGGAATTGGAAAGACAAGGAATTCTGCTCAAGCCACAAATAAACCACAAATTGTTGCTGTTGCATACCTTTTTTCAGCCTCCTCATCAAATTTTCTGCATAAAGAGAGTTTTTCCTCATTTCTCTACCACATAGAAGTCCAGATATTTTGGTGGACCTTCAAGGTTCTGACTGAGGCTTGTGCCAGCAGGCAGAGGTTACTCACAGTGCACACGGCTGGAGTCAGGTACTTCCAGCACAGCTTGAAGACAGGCAGGGGGCTGTAGCCCGTCATATCTCTGATGTTGCCACTGAAACGCTCGGCTCCTGATGAACAAGAACACGGTAACGACAAAAGGAGTTTAGATTCTGCTGTCTTTTACTTGGCAGCAGAGAAAGCAAGAAACCAACATGAGAAAAAAATGAGTTTATCCTGCAGTTGAACCTTTTTATTCTTGCTATAGTGTCACCTGTACAAAGCCATCCACTCCTCCACTATATGTTTAGTAGAGAGCTTTAAAACAGTCGATTCCCACAGCTGTAAAAGAGCTGAGAGTCCTGACCGCTGTGCTGCCCAAAAGCCGTTGACTCAACTGCTGGGAGAGCGATAAAACCTGTCTGGCTTCATCAAACAAAAACACACAATGTGAACGGATTCGGCCCATTTCTGATCCCACGCAACAACAATGTATTGCTTTTGTACAACAGCTGTAAAGTTAAATGCTGAACATTAACTGGACTGAGCTAATTGCGAACATACAACTTTCTCCCATCTCTAGTTTAAGTCCACAGCGTCTCGTGAGGCATTAAGAGACCGATTTCTACCTGAGATAGGGACTCCCTGGGGCCCTGGGGCAGACTTAAGGCCCAGAGGAGACAGGCAGACGGGGGGATCTGGCCCGGAGCCAGCCTCCTGACAGCAGAGGAAGACTGCAGCCAGATTAATATACCGGCTCCTGACTGGAAGTGGAATGTAGGAGGCGAGGAGGTGGACAGCTTCTATCAGAACCGACTACATTCATCAATGAAAGCATTTTAAGGAACTCAACTGGGAGGGGGGACATTTATAAAAGTGAAATAAGAGAGGAATCAAAGCATTAAATAAGATAAGAAAAATGAAGAGGAGGAGGGAAAACAACTCAGGATGGAAAAAAAAGTTATTAAATAAATGACTCCTTATTTATAGTCACTGCAGCTATTTTTACACCCCTGAGATTTTAAGAGACACAACAGAAAGTAGTAGATGAAGGGAAATGATACTCAATTTTCAACATTATGAAAACCTGAAAAGTGTGGTGGACACATGCAGTCAGTGGATAAATACTCTGGATGCAAGTCTTGAGCTTTGCACAGTTTCTGCAGGTTTCACCAACTCAAACTGAAGGCTTTTTGAAATTTTAGATCTACATCATGACAGAAATTTACAAAAACAAAACTGCATATTTTAAATAGAAGTAGTGCTTAGCTTTGTTGGACATAATGAACGTAATAAAGTCTGGGTTGCTCTGGACTTTGACTAGGACACTCGCACTTCATTGGATCTCTGGCTGTATTTTTACGTTTTTTTCCTGTCTGTCACTCCATGATGCCGCCACAATGCTTCACCACGAAAATACTGCGTTCAGGGAGACAAGGGGCAATTTTACATCATACAATGTCGGCCAAAAAGGTAACACTGACCGACACTTGAATGCTACAAGTGGTGCAGAAGAGCTGGATTCATACCGTAGACCCAGCCGATGGCCAGAGACTGGAAGATGGAGAGAAGCAGCAAGCTGGCTCCACTGCAGGAAAAGTGGTCATAGATCTGGAACACAAAGAGACCACCCTATCCGAGGTGGAAACATATGGGGAGGACAGAGAAAAAACACAACAACGACAAGAAAAATGACTCCTTAGTTTCATGTTATGAAAAAAAAAAAAGCTAGCAGAAAGGATGGGCGTCACATAAAACTCACCGGTGTGACCATAACCAGCCCAATCAGGAAGCAAACAACGCACACCAGCAGCAGCAGCAGCTCTCTGCGGTATCCGCGCCGGATCACGTGGGGATACAGGTCCGTCACCGAAGTCATGAGAGCCTCCAGGCTCACAAACTGGATCCCACAGGACAGGAACATGTTTGTGTGTGTGAGCTGACAGATACACACTCCGCTGATGTCACATTATAATGTGAAAGAGAGCGTCTACCTGCGTGTCGAGACCCAGCATGATGATCATGAGGAAGAAGCAGACGGCCCAGAGCTGAGGAACCGGCATCATGGCGACGGCTCTCGGGTAGGCGATGAAGGCAAGACCGGGTCCTGTCAGAACACACCATAAAAAGGTATCAAAAGTGCTGCTACTTTTATTAAATGTAAAGAAGAAGCATGAGTTTTTAAGAATGTTGCTTAATTCTGCCTATTTGGATTCAGCTAAATAAAATGAAGATGCTGAATTATTTGTAAATTAAAAACCAAAATGTCCGCAGAACTTCTGATTCAAAAGGATCAGATGACGACATGTTAAAGACTGTGTGCCTCTGAGAGCCAGCTTTTACCTGACTGAGCCACGGCGCCTATGTCAACGCCTTGTTCTTCAGCCATGAAGCCCAGAACAGAGAAGATGGCGAAACCGGCCAGGAAGCTGGTGCTGCTGTTCAGGAGGCACAGCATGAAGGAGTCCCTGGGAACAAACAAGGAACATGATGCAACGCCCCATGATTTAGCACAAAAAAAAAAAAAAGAAGTTTTTCAAAACAAGAGATGGATCTGGAGGCTGGAGGCGTTCGGGGCTGAATGTGTGTGGGAAAAGTGAGACTGTGGGAAAAATGGCAGTGAGGGATTTTCATTGAGGTGTGGCTGTGTCGGAGTGTTTTCTCTGCCCATTCCTGCCATTCCTTCTGGAAGCCATCTGACCGGTGGGAGCCAACATCTTACATTTCAGTGTGTGTGTGAGCATGCAGGCATGTGTATGTGTGTGAGAGTCTCACTTATAGCAGTCATTGTTGTATTTGTTGTAACTGCCCAAGGCTGTGAGACTTCCCAAGCAGATTCCATAAGAGAAAAATATCTGGGTACCAGCATCCATCCATACCTAGAGAGAGAAGAAGAGGAGGGAATAAATGGATAGAATTAAATACAATTTCTAATAAATCTGTACAATATGAGGGGTGTTTGTGCACCTGAGGGTCAGCCAGGCGGGTGATGTTGGGTTTGAGGTAGTAAATGATGCCCTGGGTCGCTCCAGGCAGCGTGGCACCGCGCACCAGCAGCACAAGCAGCATGATGTATGGGAAGGTGGCCGTCAGGTACACCACCTGAAAGACACGCAAACGCTACATAAACCCATCTTTATTCACTTCTTCAGCTGGAAAAGACATAGAAAATAAAGTAAAATTACTCAAGAGGTCAAAAACATTTTTAAGAGGACTCCTGAGCAATACGTGTGTGGCTGCATTCAGTTTTAGAGGCTGGTTCCCAGGCTTAATTGGAGTAGAAGGTGATTGACCCAGTAATTAGAGAGGATTGGGTACTGGGTGTAATTGTGTCTGACTAAATATGAGTGTTCCAGCTTGGCAGAGAAAACCAACAGCTTACGAAAAGCAGAAAGACGCAACAAAACCTTCATCATAGCTCAGGCAAGATTTACTCTTATATTTTGAATCGTTGTTATGTTTCCAGGCTGTCTTTCGCTTCAGTGTGTTTCTTTCTAATGGTCTCACATTTTCCTCAGGGATGCAACACTTTTGTTACTTGAAACAAAATTATTTTCCCTTACTCCAATATGCATAAATTTATGGTGAATGGAAGTGCAGCTAGTGAGAATAAAACACACGTGCTGTTTTACAAAGAAGATAGAAATATCTGGTTTCAACTGGATATACTTTGTTTCATAGCAGACTGATGAATGAACAAACAGTTTGTACCGGGTAGTGAACTGAATCCATTCAGTTTGAACTGTTTTACATTTTGACTTCAGCGCAAACTTTAAATAAATGCTTGCCTGTATTTACGAGAGCTGTAAGTGCAAAAACAATGTCAGTCACATTGCTGCTGACCTTTCCGGTGGACTTCACGCCCTTCCAGACACAAAAGTAGCAGACGAGCCAGACGACGGCCAGACACAGAGCCAGCTTCCAGCTGACCGGGCCCAGCTCATCTAAAGTTCCTGACAGGCGGAGCACTTCCCGTCTGGAACACACACACGTACACACACGAAGATGCCATCAATCCGAGACATTGACTATACCTGTAAACGGCATGCCGGCTTTTCCACACTTACTCCCAGAACTCCATGACCGGGGAGGTGGCGTTCACAGGCAAGCTGGTCACGTTTGCAGTCTGGTTGTATTTATCGAACAAGAAGCACGCGTCTGCAGAAGTACCAACAAGTCCACCTTTAAAATTCTTATCAAACCGGTTCACCAGCAGCTTGTAACGCCGTCACCGACCCGTGTTCCACGTGTTGTTGCAGTGCGACCACGGCAACTCGGCCTGGAAGCTGTAGAACAGGTAGAAGAGGGCCCAGGCCAGGATGACGATGTAGTAGACGCAACCGTGCAGAATCATCACCTGGCTAGCATAGCCGAGACCTGCAGAAACACGGCAGGAAGCTCACATCACTTCCAAGTTGCATGGGTTTCAGATGAAAGCGTCTTTTTTTTTTTTTTTGCTGGAACTCTGGAGCTTGCAGCCCACACCTCGTGTATCTTCATTAGGAATGAAGGATCTGATGATCTTGAGTGGGTTACAGACAGAAGGCTCTCTGTCTGGATAAAGAGCTTATTTGTTGAGTGTGCTAATGAAGTTCAGTGCTTTAATCTGCTACTGAAAAATGCGGACCAGAGTGAAACATACAAGAACAAATCTCCTTGTTCCTGGGGTTGACATAAGGCAAGCAAAGTTAGCAATTTTCTCTCCGAGGTGCAAAAAGCACACAAAGGACCAAAATAAAAATCATTTTTAAGCAATGACCCAACACAAAATAGCTTGCTTTTCATGTTCTGTACAAATAAAAATCTGAAAGATCAGCATGTATTTGTATTTGTCTTTTCTCTAATACACAAAAACAGGGTGCAATGTTGTAAAAGGTTGCCTCTTTGTATTTGAACTCTTCCAAATCTGTGCCTAAAGTCAAGGTCATCCTCTCTTCCCTCCCCTGTGTTTGTGATGTGGAGCTCGACGTTCCCATACAGCCAAGGATTTATTTTTTATCCCCCTATTTCCTGTTCTGAAAAGTTTGTTTTATATTGTCTAGAGCGTCTGAGGGGCCGATAGCCTAAAGGAAGAGAAACTGTAGCGGCAAAATAAAATGCATGAAACAATTAAATGAGATTTTAGACAGCTGATAGTTTCTCTTGAAGAGCTTAAAAAGGATTTATCGGATTTCATTTTTGCGAGGAGAATGATGGGATGAATATTATTAAGACTGCTGCAGAAAAGTTACACATATTGCTGTATTTAAGCACATTAACTGAAAGGTTAGTGGAAGGAAAAAGAGTGGTAGGAAAAGGTAGATGAGTTTAAAGCTGTTATTGAAGCAACCACGCTGATTATCTCCATGCCACGCCACATTACTGCAGTAATTCACGCAAAAAAAACAACAACCCACTTTTCATTCCAAACACAAACAGTAAATACAAATAGATTATTGATGACTGAAAAATAGGATCACCTCCAAATAAGGGGCAAATGGTTCTCCAGGCACTGACCCCTCCCAAGCTGGTGAACTGACCCAGAGAGGTCTCCAGGAGGAACAGGGGGACGCCACACAGCACCAGGAACAGCAGGTAGGGGACAAAAAACACACCTGCACACAAACAAGAGGTTACAGAAATCTGCAAAACAACAAAAACGGAAAATGCAAAAAAAAAAAAATTTTTTTTTCTCTTCACCTCCTCCGTTTTTATAGCAGAGGTAGGGAAACCTCCAGACGTTGCCCAGCCCAATGATTTGCCCGGCCACCGCCAGGAGGAACTCGGCCTTGCTGGCCCACTGGCCCCTGGCCTGCAGGCCGTCTCCCAGGGCTTCTTTCTTCCTGGGGAGGCCGGCGTGGGGGAACTTTGTCAGCGGCTGGTCGGATGGCGGCGAGAGAGGCTGGTCGGCCATCATCGGTTCTGGCAGGGACACACACACACCCCTGAGGCGGGAAGAAAACAGGACAAATAAGCAGAATTAATGAGGGAGACGAGCACATCTTGCAGCTAACGCAGGCAGAAGAAACATTTTGACACATAAAGGAACAAGAAGAGCCAGAAGAACTCACATTGTAGCGGCTGAGCAAGAGAAAGTAAAAGCTGGGAAGAATTCTAACTGTTGGTTTGGCTGCTTGTCTTATCTGAGCCGTGAGTCCCAAGGACAACTCCTGTGGGTGTGTGTCCTTTATCAGACGTCTGCAGGACATCAAATGCCTAAATTTGTCCTCTTCTCATTCATCACAAAGAATAAATGCTGCTTTTGTAAATGGAAATGCTTCAAGCATGTGCCGAAGAATGCTAATTTTTGTTTATAAAGTTTTCTATTCATGCATTTTACTCGTAGTTTAAACCAAACTTAACGAAAAGCTATTTTTTTTTAAATGTAATATAATATTTGGGACTCTTTCTGTTTATTATTGTGATACATCAGTATTATTAATGCTTCCATTGTTTTTGCAGGTTTTCCGTTTGCAAGTTTTAGCTTAAAACATACAGACTCTTGCCAAAACAATCATATTTTCACATTAATAGCCTACTTTATTTTATTTTGATTTTATACAGCAGACCACAGGCGGAGGGAAAAATGTACATGGTTTACTTTTTTTTTTTTTACAAATGAGAATCTGAAAAGTGTGGTGAGCTTTTTGTGTTCAGACCCATGTGGCTCAATACTTTTGTAGAAGCAATTTTGGACGTTTGGAAATTAAGATTTTTTGCCAATTCTTCTGGGCAAAAGAACTCAGTCAAATCAATGTTCAAGCATGGGCAGATTTTCAATTGGAATTACACCTTTTGGACTTTGACTAGACCATTTCATTACATAAAATGCTCTAGTAGTATGTCTAAGATTGTAGTAAATGCTATATTCACTGTGCACTATAAAAGATTATTTTGACACATCGGTTGAATATAATCACAGATTTTAGCCTGTATTTAGCTCCATCCATCTCCCTATTAACTCGCCAGCTTCTCTTTCCCCACACAAAGATGCTTTCACTCCGTTTTTCCTCTGGTATGTTTATTTTCACTCAGTTTCCTTCCTTTACTTCTCTGTTGACAAACTGCACACGTTACTTTTGATTGTCTTTCAACAACAGCTCACTTTGTAGCAGAACTACTTTTTGTAGGCTTCTAACATAAAATGTGAATTAGTTGAAGGGCTCTCCATGCTTTGGAGCTGCTTGTGCCACTTTTTGCTCTGTAAAGTCCCGTGTGTGTTGCAGGATGCTGCACTGAGAATCGGATTTCTGCGTAAATTCCTCAGATATTCCGGTGACACTCGGTTCCGTCTTCATCCTCGACTCTCCGTTATGAACCACGTGATCAAATAACGCTGATGTAACAAAGTCCGGGCCACCTTTCATAACTCCAATGTTACTCTGCACAGCACTGCGCTCAAATACACGCAATAATGAGGTTGTGAGCGATACTCGAGGGTCATGCAACCTCTACAGTATGAAATGAAAAGTAACACAGGACTGAGCAGCAGAGGCGTGTTTGAGGATGCTCCTCCAAATCCCGCCTCACGCAACACACCGCAGAGCCTCCGCGTTAGTTTTCGCTCTGGAAGCGGAATGAAAAGACAAAACGCGGACAAGTGGACATGACAGCGCCTACCTCTGCGTTTCCGGTGGTTCTCCACGCCTCGGACGCCCCCCCGCGCGCGCGCCGCACTGATCTATAGCGGGTTGAGCTTCAGCAGCGACTCGGAACCAAATTTACACCCCTGACTGTGTGTTTCAGAGTCCATTCGTTAGACCGGCAATATGAACAGGTTACAAAATGAACCGCGCGGCATCATGGGTATTGAGTGCTCTTTTCCCCCGACCGCCTCATTGTTTCAAAACTTCACAGAGGTTGCCCTTCATGGCGACTTTGTTTGTAGTTTTTGTTGCTTCCGCAACCTGCGCAGCAACTTGCACAAGAGGGATGTTTGTTCCTCCATGTTGCTTCTTAATGTGATTCCTTCTTCCTGGTCAGTGGAGAGGCAGGCAGGAAAACTGACCAAAACGCATAAAAATGCGTCTTCTGTGGCTTAATAAGTAAAGGCTTCTGGATTCTCTATGGAGGACTGAAACTGTTTCAAAATAAAATAAAAAATATACAAAGGATTAAATAAATTAACCAGAACACTTAATATTACCAATTAATTATAAAAGAGACATATGTTTCATTTTTTATAATTTAATTTACTTCATTTTTAGTCCTATCAAGTAAATGTTACTGTTTTTAAAATGCAGAATTTCTATTTTAAAACTTTCATGTCATATTTTTCAACAAAATTGTTTTATTTCCATGTATTCTTTGGACATTTTTTTTGTCAGCCATTTTTATTTTGCTGCATGAATTTCTGTCTCATTATGCAAATAATGAGACGATGCTTCAGCTTCTGCCTATTGGTTGCTTAGCAGTGCACAATAAAGCTCAAATCAACAAAGACACATACAATCAGTTTCAGGAGCAGAAGCTTAGCTAGTGTATTTAAAAAATAAATAAAATAAATAAAAACAAGGCCTTTTCATAATTTGGGAGACATTGAAGACTTTTGAAATGATTGGCAATAAGTGTCTCACTGTGGAGAAAGTATTTTTTGTTTTCTGCCACACTGGAAGGTTTTTGTTGGACCTTCGCCTGTAGAGCTGAAGTATATGCTTATACTTCAGCTATAAGCGTTTTTAATGGACTGTGCCATCACCTGTAGCCAATCAGCAGAGCCTTTATAGCTTCAGCAACACAATGCAGTCGCTTGCTAACAGTCTGCTCTATGGACTTCATTCAGAAAATCACATTCCATTGCTTGAATATATCAGGCAACATTATCTGCAGTATAAATCACAGGCAAGACTAAAAGAGCTTGTACTGTAACCTGTGCATACGAGCAGTCATGCATGTCAGGGCTCCAGTTTCCAGAATAATACAATGATCTCAAGGAAAGAGTAACCCATTTGTTTGTGCAATCTGAAATTAATTATAGTCTTTATTATTTCTGAGAACCGTAACCTTGATAGACTATTATCCTTTACGGCACTGGCGACCAGTAAGTTCTGCTTTTTAAATCACTCCTCATTGTTAAAAAGAATCAGAAGTTTGGATTTCAGTCAGGTGGCTGAGATGTTCACTTTCTCAGTCCATAAACATGATAAGCATGACACTGCTGTCATAAAGAGAAAAGTTGAAACAAGTCACCTACATAACGCTTCACGATGGTTTAACTTGTTGGTTTCAACTCAACATAACCTGTTGTTGTTGTTAGAAGAGTTTTTATTGATCACAAGGACAGAACATCTATTTCTGTTTGCAGGTTATCTTTATGGTTTTGGTGATATGTGTTAAAGATAAGCTGAATGCTGTGGTCATTAAAACCAGGATGTCCGATCTTAAACTCATATCTTGATCCATTAAGCAGACACTAAATAGATTTTTTTAAATATTGATTAAAAATCTAACTTTACAGCTAAAAACTTCAACACTAAAGCACTAAATCGAGAACAAAAGACTTTTGCATTATGGAACGAAACTTCCACGTACTCTTGAAGTCTGCAATTAACTAGCAATACAAATTTATGCCTGATTATTTCAGGATTGTTCATTAGTTGGAAACGTTGCACAAAGGAAGCCAAGACGTTAAAAGGTCAAGAGCCAGGAAGTGGTAAAAAGTCTCAACAATACATGAATTCCTCAACCACTAGTGTGCTCTCCACACGCAGCCTCTCCACATACAAATGCCTGAATTCCCAGGGGCTAAATAAGCCCCCGGCACCAGGAGTCCTTTAATACAGCCTCTGTTCTTCTGCCTCTGTAAAGGCCCTGCCATGGCATGTAACTCAGACAAGGTGCAGCCATGCACACTTTCTAAGTGCTTTATGTGTAGTTTTATAGGTGTGTTGTACTAAGGACACTGGGTCACTGATATACACTAAGAGGTGTTGACACACTCTGTTGCTCTTTGCAATCTGCTGCATCTTGTCATTGTCAAGATGCGACTGCAGTGATTTGTTTTTTTCCTGTTTGGCAATTAGTCGAGTCGTAAATATTAACAAGGACTAAAAGAAGATGGTTATGTAACGGCAAAATCAAGATGCAGCCCTAAGATGAGAATACTGAACTTCACAGCTTCAATCCCAGTAGTGAAGTACTATTCAAATCAGAAGAGGATCTACATGCATAAATGAAATTATAGAGGTACAAAAAAAGAGAAAAAAATCAGTAAATGTCTTAGTTGTGATTGAGCAATATTAATTTGTGTATATGAGGTCAGAGATGATTTGAAAAGCAGGTATCAGGTTTGCCATGTCTTCTGGTTTAGCAGCTCCAAAACAAGATACCCAACACCTTCCAACTGGCTCACTGTGACCCGATCCGGCCGCCTGCTGCAAGCTAGCAGGGCCCAGGCAAACACACTCTCTACAACACGCTTTTTCTTGATTATGGACAGGGAAGATAATTAGAATTGCTGGAAAGAAAATCTCTTAGTTTCTGACAAATATGTTCTTTTTATAGTTTTCAGAGATGTAAGTTGGGAGGATGAAGTATTTGCCTTTTCTTTTCTTTTTTTTTATTTAAAATAAAATCTTTTAGCACTTTGAATATTTCTCTCATGTTAATATTATTTATGCATACTAAGTAAAAGTTGCTGATTCACCATGAAAACACAGCTGACGAACGCTGTTGGGAGTCTTTGCTCCAAGCTATTGATCAGCGTGAATATGTGTTTGTTCAGGAATTACACAACTTGAAACAAAAGATTAAAGTTGAAATACTCACCTACTTCCTTTGCTGACATTATGCTAAATCTGTTTGTATACATGCAGAAGAGTTATTTAAGATTTCATCATTTGCTTTCGAAATAAAATCCTTACATGCCATCTTTTAATCATCTGAACAGAGCACAAAGAAAAAAATCCACACCACACTAAGGTTAACAAGATTATTTAATCAAACCCTTATGGTGTGGTTTAGCTTAAGAGCTCTAATTCCTTGGACTTTCCTGTGTCTGCTTCTCCAAATCTTCAATAGGTAAACAGTTTAGCAGCTTACACACAAGCCATTCATGGAAATGCTCCACAGTATTCCACTTGTAGATGTTGTTATGATGTATGAAAGGAATATGAACCTTTACTTTGGGATCTTAAAAAGCAAATGCACAAATATTAAAAAGTAGGGAGTTTAAATTAAGTACAAAGATCATTCTGACAGGAGATTAAAATCTGGCTTGAAGTAAGTAGCCAATTTGAAATACACAACATAATATTTTCCCTTATTGTCACAATTTGTTCAGAAGAAAAGATACAGAAGCTAATTAAGTTAACAAGGTGAAAACGCTAAATATAGTATGTACATATTTCAGCTAACGTCTTTATCCTTATTGCTGAACCTAATCTACAGATTAGAAATGAAACATCTCTAGGAATTTCTAAAATTCACAGAGAATTGAGTTTAAAGTGTTGTAGGAAAGAATGCGAAGACAGATGTATAAGTGGAAGCAAATCATTTGATTAAAATGAGATAAAGCCACTTGGAGACGATGAAATTTACCAGACTATCTCTTGTCCTCCTGCTGAACTTACCTCTGTTTGTGGATTCTCACTAAACCCTCGAGATGGTGCCTTAGTGAGCCGGATTAATTGAGACCCTGCTCATCCTGATCATTTTACAGAGAAGTGGGTCCGACCCGTCTCTCTCCCTTTGCCCATCCAGCCTCAGCTTGTTATAAACCAGACTCTCAGGCAGACCTGAGTGATCTAAACAAAGCCAGATTCCTGTTGATCACTGAGCATGAAGTCGAGGGGCTAAATCATCACATCATGGGACTGGTGAGAGCCTGGATGGCTGACTCGTGAATACTCGACCCTAAAGCAGCATTAACAGTTTCCCTCCTTTGCAATAGCAGAAAATAAAACTGAACTCCAGCATGTACAGTAAAAGCTACACATCTATGATTTGATGGAGTAGAAGATATATCAAGACGCTTTATAGCGTCAATCAGAGTTTGGATGTGGGTGCAGAAGTCATGCCTTTATCCAGGAAGTCAGCTTTACAGTAATTAATTCATCTAATCTGCCTGAGGCTCCCAGACCTTCACACTCTGGGCTGCAGTCGGCCCACGAAGGAATGCAGGGAGGGATTATCTGAAAACCTCATCTAATAATCCCTTCTGCTTTCACTGATAAACTGGTTTTGCTGTCAGTGAATTAAAGGTATGAAAGAAAACTAACTTGAGGATGAGATGATGAACTGTTTTTCAGTATTAATTTCAATTAACCCCATTGGGTTGGACTTCTTCACTTAAATGTGATTAAGAAGGATAAGATTATACAATTTTCAGATCAGTGAAAGACAACCCGAGTAAATACAAATTCAGTAAGGGGGGAAAACTGTCAAGAAAGAAAGTAAAAACAATATTCCTGGAGAACATACAGATACCAGCGGTGCTTTGATGAGTTTGTGTGATGAATTTCATTATGACAAACTCCAAGAACAATCTGTTTGGTTCAAAACTTCCAGAGAAATATCACAGATGATTTCATCCTAAAAAAGCTTGAAGAGACTCTTTTACGGTTTAACATAAGTTCTATTCTTGGCACAAAAGAGGCTTACCTCACTTATGACTATACTGCTTCCACAACAAATGGAGTCCCAGTGATAAAATCTACTGGGGATTTAATGATCTGGAAGTTACTCATGATGACTTCCTAGAACCTTCCCTTGTGATTGGTTATACTCTATTAGCATTGCCCCTTCCACATAAATGAGCTTGAGTCTGTGTTGACTGACCAGGTTGATAACCAATGTGTTGACAACACTTCTCATTGTGCAGAAAAGCCACATGAATGGCTTTGCTTGAATAATGCTGTACAAATATGACCTTAGCCCTTCCAGTAGGTAACTTACCCAACAGTGATTCAGTAATGAGGAAGTGACGCATGCAACCATCCCAGCCAGCCCATTACAACTATACTAACACATTATGAAACATAGCAGTTTCATAAACACAGAACGGCATCAGGCCCACACCACTGACTCCGGAGAAACTCTAATGTTTCTGCCAGCGGCCCATGGAAAACTGCGAGACTGCTTAACAAGAGTCAGTCCCCCCACACGGCGATGACAGAAAGCGGCACTTCCTGAACGCCAGCAGCTAAATCTGAGAAGCTGCCTCAGCGTATGTGGTTAAATCGCATGAGAGCGATGGAAACATCCGTGGTCACCTTTGGCTAAACACAGCCTGAAAATAAAACACACGCTACAACTGACATGACATCAGTCTGCATCAGCACAAACAGGGAGAAATAGGTCTTTAGGTGAATGTAGCCGTGTTGCTGGAAAAATACATGGTAGTTGCCATGTGAGTGGGACTGAATTCAGATCAATTAAAGGCTGATTTAACTTTAATTGTAGTGTTTTGGTAATTGCAAGTTATACTGTAGAGTTCGAGGATCCTTATTTTTACAAAAGAGTGATTTCATACTGTCTGCAAACTCAGGTTACTGTAATTTATCGGTTGTCACAAAGCTGATCATAATTGTGAAGTGGAATGAAAAGTGTGCCATGCCTTAATAATTAGGCAAATTCCACAAACCCAATTTAGATTCAGGATTGGACTTTGACTATGCAGTTTTAAAACATGAAAATACTTTGTTTGGATCGATTTCAGACTCTAGAGCCTTCAGAATTATGACTTGGCATCTTCTTACCCAGTCTGCCAAATGTCCAAGCTGATAAAACAAAGCAAAAAACAATCCAACAACATAATTACATGTTCACCATGTAATCACACTCTGTTGCATAAATATTTAATTTATTTATTTTTATCTATTTCACATTTAAATTTCTGGCTGTAATGTGAAAATTTTATAAAAAGTAAGTAATTTATTTATTCCTGCCATGGAGAAAAGAGAACCTACACATAATAATTTGCGCAGTGCATTTTGAGTTTATTATTTTTAAAAAGCTCTCATAGGAGTTTTGTTCAGTAAAATTTGATTTATACTGTCAGAGTGTAAATGAAAGCAACAGAAACAGCAGATGATGTGTAAATATCAGAGCAGCTAACACAGATTAACACGTCATCTTTTGTTGGTCCAACAAAAGGGAGTGTAAAATGCAGAAATACAAGTTTAGATAAGGCATAGTAAATTTGCACATGGCATGACTCAGCATTTTGTATAAGCAGTGATGCAAGTCATAGTTACAAAATAATTGGTTTTATCTTAAAGTGTTCGATCAGGATCTCGTAATCTGAGCTCTTAATTAAAGCTTCATCTGTATTAAATACTTTATGTTTTTATACCTGTTTTAAAAAAAATATATTATATACCAAAGATGACATCAATATGGGGACACCAGTCTCACACATAACCCAGAGCCAAAACAGTGTAATTGTCTTGTAATTTCATCTATTATTTAGCATTTTGTACGTAATAAAAAGCCATATTCACACACAAACATTTGTACACATGTCTTTCCTCTACCTGCGGTAACCTGACACTGTCCTCTTTAAACTCTTCCCCTACCTGGAAACATACAGGAACTGAGCAGTAAAACACCCACACAGATCAGGTGGGAGAAGTAAATCTGCTCCAAATGTCCAGGTCGGCTCTGCTTTACTCCATTTACTACACGATTAAAGTTCACATCTAAGCTGTTTTTGGATGATAAAGAATCGCTTGCTTACCTCGTCCTCATCTCTCGAGAAATGACTGAAATTGGCCCAGGGACATGACAGGTGTAGCCGTGGGGGAGGAGCTTCAGACCAGGGAGCTCCTGAGGCAAAACAGACCGTCAGTGTGATGACACAACTTTGACTGGGCCATTCCAGCATGTGAATATGCGTTGTTCTGAACTGTTCTGTTGGAGTGTGAATCTTCGGGACGTTTCATTAATACACATGTTACATTTACCATAACAAAATAAATAATAAATAAAAATAAAAACAGTCACCGTGAGCATGCTCTCTACTGAGGGACTATTCTTTATGAATGGACACATGCATGAGGACACACCTGGGAACCTTCAGTTCTCAGGTGTGTCACTTTATGCCGTGTTACAAATTATTATGCACATCAGATTTTCTAAACATTTTATGGATTATAAAGAACTGCAAACGACTGTTGGTTGAATGTGCAACATTAAGTGGTACTAAAATCAAAAACTATTTCAATCAAAAACATCTCAACAGACAGTTACATGTTAACATCGAATCCCTTCTTTGATATCACCTGCATAATTCTTGCATCCATTGAACTTGTGAGTTTGTGGAAAGCATGCCACCTTCAGATCTTCTGCTTGAGGAAACTCTAAAGGTTCTCAATAGGGTCAGAGGTCAGAGGAGGATGGTGACCACATCATGAATTTCTCCCCTTTCATGCTCATAGCAGCCAATGACACAGTGGTATTTCTTGCAGCTTACTCTGGTAGCATGTAGTTTATAGGTAACATGATACATTACAGTTTAGTGTTTTAAAGGAAATCCTTCTTAAGCAGATTTTCTGTAATTGAGCTCACCAGACAAACTAAACCAGCTCTTTGAAATTATAGCAATTCAAAGAGCCCTGACACTCAATACCATCCAATAAATTAAACTAAATTAATTTACATTCCTGATCAACTTTGGGGTTTTTAACACAACAAAAAATGTAATCTTTAGAACATGGTGTACTTCCCCTTACACAATAATATCAGGAATGCTGTCAATCCTGATACATCATTCAAGTATAGATTAAGCAGAGTCTCCACTTTTTGTTTAATCTAAGTGGGAGGCAGCTGCTGCAAATACACTGAGTCATTATTTGACTTAAATTCTATATGCACCATTCACCATTCATATGAAACAATACCGATCTGTCATATAAACGTTCTTAGAGGCATTTGATGAACTGTTGAAAGTGACACACCTTGAACTGTTGAAAGTGACACACCTTGATTGCTCAATGAAACATGTCTGTAATTCTAGACGTCTTTGATCTTTATGGCTATTACTTTTTACAACTCTTAGTTCAATGCCAACACAAATGTGTGCATTAAGCATTTTATACACACATACATGCTCTGTAGATCAGGTAGGTAGGTGACATGGGCAATTTTTCAACATAATATACTGTAGTAGCAATTGGAGAGCAAGAGAACCGCCACTTTCACCATGCAGCACTTCATGCCTGCACACAGCAGCTGGAACACAAATGTGATACTATTGTCTGGTCCCAAATGAAGAGGTAGCGGCTCGTTCAGCAGCTGCTCGCATGTTGGGTGAAGCTTCAATGCTATTTCAGGATAACTGCTGAGAATTTTCTCTCTGACAAATTAAACATAATTCTTCAAGATGTTCTCAAGTTGTTTAAGATATGTTGAGCAACTTGAGTTGGAAGTTATGCATTGCTGTAATTTGTGCGGTTGTAGCTTGAGGTTCAAGTTTACAACCTATTGTTTAAAGCGGCGTCTAATCCTCGGATTTAGTGAGATCTGTGTGCGATATTCCACATTAGCCTGCATGGTTGGATGTCTATTATTTACCAGGCTCTCATTTGATGCAATGTGGCATTTTAATTTTATTTCATAACCCGTCTTGAAGCTTTATAATCTGATTGATCTTGTCAACACTTGTTTTTTACTCGTCTGGAGTATCAAGTGTAAAAACAAAAGAAATGAGAGAACAGAAAGTACTTGAAAACCGCCATCACTGTTCCCACTGGGAGGACGAGTTGTACTGTTCTTGGACTCATGAGTTAGAATGAAGCAAGAGTTGATGAGTGGATGTGACACATCAGAATTGGGTCGTTTATTACACTTGAGTGGATTTCCTAGTCAGACAGAAGCAAAACTTAAGCTAAACTGTTCATTAAAGAAATATAATTTGATAGAGTTTATTCACGAGAGAAACATTTTTTCTATTTTCTATCTTATTTTAATTATGACAGCATCAGTTCCACCCATATTGTTGTGATCCTATGATAATGCTTTCCCGGTTATATTTTCTCTCTCATGCTGCTGATCTCGCATCATTAGCAGGGCGATTTCTACTTGTCCACACAAAACACTTGCAACTCAAAACCACAGTACAAATAGACTAGAGACTCCTGTGAAATGCAGGATTATCCATCTTAAATCCACTTCCACTGCAAAACAAATCTATTAAAATACAAATCGTACTTTAGTATCTTTCCTTTCTGCAGCGGTCTCCTCCTGATATCTCAGTCTCATTCCTGTCTGACCACATCATTTGACCTTTCCTCAGAGTTATCTTGTGTAGTCTGGGTATTGTGTCTCGACATCCAGTTGGTTGGGACATTCCTGGTCAGCGTTGGGCTTTGAGCAACATTTCTCACATGACGACACTATATTGCAAAAAGTACTTCTGTAGGAATAAATTGCTGCAGAATGGAACAGATAATTGCTCTAATCTGCTTGTACAGTGATACTCGTGCTTGCGCTAGACTCCAATTTAAAAAGTTATTGCTGTAAAGCCAATGGAGAGACAGCATTTTTAACAGGGTGAATTGTTAAAAATGGATGGACAGCTTTTTACGCAATTACCATATTTTTGTTTATTAGGAGCTCCCTGCAATTATTTATAAGTACATAAAAACTATTTGTGGTTTCGTTATTATTCAGGGTTTGTGTCGTCTGCTGCGCTCCAGCCTCCTGTGTTGTTTTGGGTCACAGAGCTTTAACAAGGAGGAAGAGACAACATATTTGGAGCAACGTTTTGGCCACAGAGCCAGACATGAAATGGAAGTCAGGAGCGGAATTTGGGTTGGCCAATAAAAAAGGAAAATAGAGCAAAACTAGACTGTAGTCGTGATGCATTAGAAAGCGATAAAATCTTTTACTGTCAGCAACCGCGGTGAAGCCTGTTCAAAAGACCCCGATTGATTTCCAAAATAGATTTTGTGGCCTGAATTTACAAATATTTTTTTCAATTTATTTATTCTGGCTTGACTTTGCTTTAATCGCTTGCAGATGAAGCAGCTTCTTCTGTCAAGGAATTGTAAACATGTGGTCTGCTAATAAAGAGCGTAATGGGAGCCATCATGTTTTAATCATATTCAGTGAAATGGCTTTAAGTAATCTATCTTGCCAAATCTGATTTGGTGTAATCCGTATTTGTTTTGACACTAGGATATATTATTAGCAAAGTTCTTTTTTAAAAACCATTGCACATAACGATTAAAATGTAATTGGTGCTGATGATGACAGACTGCATGATGGATGAACATGAACTCATCGAAGTTCCTCTCCATTGTGTCACTGGTGGCTATAAATCTGTTGTATTTTCAGTTTTTGAACCGACTGCGGATGAAAAAAGAAAAAAAAAGGACAACTAAGTCCCCAGCATTTGGCTGTCAACTTTAATTTTTCTGATATTAAAGTGTGACACAGTCTTTTAGGGCGTAATTGCACCCACACCCAATACGACAACAGACAGCGGAACATGCATTCCATGAATCTTTGCTCAAACACTTTCTACACCAAAAGCAGGATGGAAGACAGCTCCAAACTGCTCCACATTAAATCAACAAAAACAACAACAACAACAAAAAACAAGTTACACGTCTCTCTACAGCAGACAGGTATTTTAGATTTTCAGTTGATTTATTTGACTCTTGCTAGGACTGTGAAACCATAAACCTACGAAACTCTCAGTAATAAAACTGAAGACAAATTAACACACACTATCATAATTATGAGCCCAGGTGTTTCTCAGTTGGTGAAAAAGCTGTACACACACATTGAGCAATTCCATGGCTTTTGCTACTTTTCTAACTTCTAGCAGCAGCTAGCTGAGCTGCACTACTGAAGCTGGCTTGTATGTAAACAGGAACAACAAATGAAGATTTTTAAGATTCAGATGTGCTTTTTTTTTGTTTGGTGTCCTCTCTTATAACAGTGACACTGTTGATACATGACATAAACTCCCAGCTTATTAAAAATAAACCAAACTTTGTGGTTTTCGGTCTTAAATCCTCCCAACATCAAAAAGCACTCACTTCTTTGTCAGTGACAACAAAAAGAGAGTCAGAGGTTTCTGCTGGATTTTTTCCAAGCCCTTTCCTCTATTATGACTCTGTTGTGAACATTTCTAATAACTTCTCAGTAAATTATAGAAAAAAAAAAACATTTCCTGTCATTTGTCTAAATTGCGTATATTTTACAACTAAAAGCTCCCACTTCCTGTGCATACTCTTACAATAATCATCCGCCTAAACGGTTCCTGCATGACAAAAAGTAATAAACAGATCCCAACAATCCCACAACTTTTGAAGTAACTTAATTTCAAGCAGCTACTTTTACCAGCTTCCTGCAGCAGCTAGTTGTACTAGCTAGCCCCCAATTTCTGTGCAACGGCTGCAACATGGTTGAGATTAAAAAGAAAACACAAGCGTAAACTGGCTTAGTAGCGATTCGCTGACTGGTGAAATATTTATAAGCCAATTGACAATTGAAACACACAAACTTCTTTATCACAGCACCTTTCACCAATAACTTATTCATTAGAGTGGCTGTAGGATAGGATTCTGACAAATCAGGCTCACTTTGAACTGCCAAGATGTTTTCCTTTAATGACACTTTTGGATTCCTGAGCTGTAAACAAAAGCAAGGGAAAAAAAGCAACAGCAAACCTTGCTGCCAGAACACGTCTCCACAGCATCAACATTCCTCTGGAAATATATGAGGATTGTAAGAGGAGCCGAGGAGAGAGGGCTGGGTGTCGGTGTCAAAGAGTGCAGCAAGTATTTATGGATATTTGGCA